CCCCAAAACCCCAAAACCCCAAAACCCCAAAACCCCAAAACCCCAAAACCCCAACTATTGTAGATAGATTGAGCAAAATCTTATATTTATGGTAAAGAGAAAGGATCCAGTGAGGATCTTGCACACCTTTAAGCAAGGGGTTATGAAACAACCAGATGGTTTAAGGAGCCTTAATCTTAAAATATCACACAGCCAGGAGCACCTCAACAACCAGCCTGCTTTTTCTTATTCTTCCGATCTTTTATTAGTACCTTCTTTGAAAGTTGAGAAGACTGTTCGATAACTTCATCATTCTGGGATTGACTTGGAACAGCCTGTTCTACTTGAACACTAGGATCTGGCTCTATCTCATCATCCATAAAAAGTACCTGGATCGTCTGTTTTTATCAAGTATTTATCTGCTGTTTTAGAGGTTTCTATAAGATCACCGTATTACACAAACTTGTCTTTTTCTTCTTTTCCTTCTTTTCCTTCTTCTCCTTCTTTTTATCCTTCTTTTTCTTCTCCTTCTTCTCTTTTTTCTCTTTTTTCTGTTTCTTGTTTTTCTTACTTTTCTTAGCCTTCTTGCTACTTATAGGAGTGTGGTCACTATTCAAGTTCTTCGGGGTAGTGCTTGACTCTTGGTGAGACTGCTTACTGTATTCTTCCCCACTCTCTTCAGACTCTTGTTCTTTAAAGTTAATGTCATTCAGCCTCACTGGGGTTTCTAAAAGGGATTAGCAATTGCCCTACCTGCAACATGAGGAACAGCATTATTTTGATCATCATCGTTTATTATTACAAATCTAGTTTTACTCGCAGAGTTAAAAACTTCTTCTATGTCCTGACTGTTTTCATCATGCTTTTGAGGAGTTTTCAAGATTATTTTTCTCCTTTCTGAGGTCTCCTCAACGTGGTAATCCATAGGTCCCCTAGTTTGTTGAGGAGGGAACTGGATGCTCTCTGAATCATCCTCAGCTTCCTGTATAATCTGTATCTTCTTCTGAAGCATATAGAGATCATCCATATCTTCTGAGGAAGAGTTTTGTTGTACACCAAAAGGCTCCTTTTTATCCCATTTCTTACGAGCTTTTGGATCTTTACGAATTATTGGGTTCTGAACATAAATGTCATTCTTAGTTTTAAATTGAATCGATCTCCCAGTTTGGGCTCTTATTTCATTTTTATATTCATCAACATCATTTAGTTCCTCTGTTGAGTCCATATTTTCCTTACCTGCAGGCTTTTCGAGATCAATTAGGATATGTTTAGGATACTGTAGAGTATCATATTTATTTCTTCTTATTCTTCTCGACTCTTTCATGAATTGCTTGGACAAGTGTCCGTACAGTAGCTAGTTCTGTGTAATTCGCCTTAAAAGTGTCAAAATCGAGCCTTTCTTCTTCAACAATTATATGCTCGATTTCTTTAGGCTCCTCAAGTTCTTTCGGTGGTGAAGAATGCTTAGCCTTCTTCTTATCATCTCTTAATTTCTTTAATGAAGTTAATGTCTGGTTTTTGGGACTCTTATTGGCGGAAGACTTCCCTGATTTTACCCACTCTTTCCTCCCCAGGGAGGAAGATATATTCTTACTTTTCCAAGTTGAGAATTTTAAAGTATTTGAAAGCTCTCTTGAAGGACTTTTAAATCGATTTTTTCTCGAACTAGCCCCAGTAACCTCAAGCCTACTATTATTCTTCTGGCAGAGCTGGCTAAATAATTGACGGCATCATTCATGAAAGTCCTCATCCGTCAGCTCAACTCCTTTATACAGCTCAATGCCATACCCCTCGATTAATTTCTTAAAATCTCTAAGATTGATTGTTTCTAAATCTGGATCTTCAGAACACTGAAGGATCTCCGTGAAGACTTCGCGGATATCATGTGCGTTTAGCTCCATTTTGTTCAAATTCAAATAGTTATTGTTCAATAATTATAATCAAATTAGGGGTTTTGGGGTTTTGGGGTTTTGGGGTTTTGGGGTTTTGGGG